ATAAAAGATTGTGCTGAAGGCTGAATACCTGCACAAGCCTAGGAGGGAGATTTTAGTCTTCTATGTTCTTTTTTCCCTTGGGAAATGCATTACCCCTCAGCAGTGCCTGACCCTGTATGCTGATGTAGAGCTAAGCAGTGAGGGGAGCAAATACCGCAGAGACCAGCAAGTTGAAGCTTGTCAGAAATGCAGAGGATGGGCCGAAGTCCCTGCTGAGAGCTGCATGTGTCTGGGGTGACTGCGATGAGGCTGTGTCTCACAGGGCACAGCTCGTTGGCACCGTTGTCAGATCCCACCTGGTTTGCAGGTGCCATGACCCGCTTGGCTGTGAAACTGGAGCACCTCCACTTTGGGAGAGCTCCATTTTGCCAGGACGGGAGAGGAGGACAGGTCTCCCAAGCTTTTCTGCTAAAGATGTCCCACATCACACAAATAATTACACAACCTTGTGCTAGGGAAGGGAAGGGAGAGGATGACTGAAGGAGCCTGCAGCCAGGTCCGGTCCTTTTTCCAGTTCAGTGACAGAGCTCCAGAAAGACTGAGAAACCCATTTGTGATGGGGACAGATGCTGACCAAAAAGCATCTTTGAACAACCACACTCAGTAGCAAACAAAGCACTGTGTTAGCAGAAATTATTTTAAGATAGCAACCTACATCTTAGCGAGACTGCTCGCCCTTATGCTTCCCACAGACCACAGCAAGCTGCCTTCTGGCTATGGAAGCAGGGCAGCATGATCCATGGTTTTCCAGGCAGTCCTGAAGTTCTGGGGCCCTTTGGAAGGTAGATGACTACCTCTGCCTGTCCCTCACCAGTTGCCAAGGAGCTGCAGAACACTATCTGTGCTACTGCACGTCCCTCTCTGCGTAGAGGTGGGTGGAAGTTCCAAGTCACACTGGTCAAGCCGGTCTGCCACCGTCACCGTCACATTCACAGCCTTTCACCCACCACCCATCAAGGGTTGCGATGCCCAGGTGACAGGTAGTGGAGAGCAGAGGGTGGCACTGCCAGCGCTGTCATCCGTGTGACAGCTACACGGGCTACTCGTGGCCATGACATCTCCTGCTTTTTGCACTCATGCATGGTGAGGGAGAACTCCCTGCTTTGGAGGTACCAGGCTGGTGCTTCATCTCGCACTGGGAAGCACTAGTTCAAGTCTGCGGCACGCCAAGGCAGAGAAACCGGTGCTGTGCTCCTGAGAGGTATCTTCCCAAGGAGATGTCATCACATCTTCTGTGAGTTATGCTCATGAATCCCTTCTTGTTTGTGGGGAAGATACTTTCTTTTCAAAGCCATAGTCCATGAAGTGCCAGCAGCTGCGTATATGCTTTGCAGGAAGGCCCTTGGCTTCAGTCCAGTCTGAGCATAGACTGGGATTTGATTTTGTATCTCAGTAACTGAGCCACTCATATATTTAATTATCATTTAATTTTTATCTTTAATGCAACTGGGGAAGATGCCCTGCACTCTGCTATTTCACACTGCCTGAACAGGAGTGGGCCTTTCCTCTTTTCCATTTCCAGATCCTGTTTCCGAACTGCCACGAGTCTCAGCCAGACTCACAGGGCTGGGACCTGGGAGGGAACCTGGCCCAGGCCTCTGCTGGGGCATGGGAGCTGAAGGCTTCGGACCAGCTCCCCCAAAGCTGTGCGACTCTCTGGCCGTGAAATTGTTTTCTGTTTGACTGGGAAATCCCTGCACTTCATTCAGATAATGTGGCAGTAAGGGGTCACTAAATGCTGGTCTCAAATGCAGCATCCACCACCCTCATCACTAGGAGCAAAACGTTCTGAAGTGGGTAGGACTGCATGATTTCCTCATTAAGGCTCAGAACAAGATGTAACAGCTGTAGTTAAAATTACCCCATATCTGCTGCCTCCTACTACACAAGGGAAAGTTATTTTTAACTGCAGGTTGCCCCAAGGGATGCCGCAGAGTGAGATCTGTTGTGCCATCGCCAACAATCTTTGCCTGGTAAGAAATTTGGGAAGAGAGCCTTCCCTCCAGCCAGCTGGGATCAGACTAGAATCCAGGGGTGGGCACCCCTCCAAGCTGATCCTTCCAGGTGCCCCAGCTCCTCCTGAGGGCACAGAGGCTGCCACTGAGTCAGCCCTGGGAAGACCCCAGGACCAGGTGCCCGGCCAAGTCCTCTCTCACTATACTTTTGGTTCTTTTTCAGATCAACTTGGCAGGCTGAAGCTATTCCAGGAGCTGTGGTAACACCGCGCAGGCAGGACCCAGAGCACACTGAGTCGCAAGGACAGTCATGAAAAACCAGAGGGGATTAGCTTTTAATGCGCTTTTCAGGGCAAACCCTGAAACTGT